GAAAAATAAAAATAAAAAAAAGATGGAAAAACCTCTGCTGTGAGGTTCCTGATGTTTCAAACACACGCGAGGTAGGATCATCTGCTCAATGTCGACTGGAGGTCAAACCAAAGCAGCATACAATTCCATTTGTAGGAAATGTCTGGAAGGAGCTCACCCGTGGAAACAAGGAGTGTTAGTGGCTCCCCAGGGCTGACGGTGGAGCATCAGGAGTGACTTCTTGAGCGTGGGATCTGATCTGGGGTGATGAAAATGATCTGAAATTAGGTGATGGTGATGACTGCCCGACTGTTCGTAGACTAAAAGCCACTCAGTTGTGCACTCTGCAGGGGTGGGTATTATAGTGTGGGGTTATTGAGAAAAATAAACGCGAACAAAAGGCACATAAATGCTGCTCCCCACAGCAACACAGGGAACACAGGAGAGAAGTGTTAACTGTGGGTCAAAACAGGCACACTGGATCACCCCGTTTTCTTCATGAACACAAGCTCCATGAGAAGAAAAACCACTTCAGCCACTATGAAGTCTACTTAGCACACAGAGGACATTTGGTAAACACTTGTTAAATGAAGCAAGTGTATGATACCACTGTGAACTGGCTTGTCGGTCTGTGTAACCACCTAAAAGTGAGTTTCTTTTGAAAGTGGGTGTTTGGCCGGTGCTGTGGCGTAGCGGGTAAAGCCACCGCCTGCAGTGCTTACATCCCATATGGCAGCCAGTTCGAGTCCCGGCTGTTACACTTCCGGTCCAGGTCTCTACTACGGCCTAGGAAAGCAGTTGGAGATGGCTCAGGTCGCTGGGCCCCTGCACCCACGTGGGAGACCTGGAGGAAACTCCTGGCTCCTGGCTTCGGATCAGCGCAGCTCCAGCCATTGCAGCCATCTGGGGAGTGAACCAGCGGATGGAAGACCTCTCTCTCTCTCTGCCTCTCCTCTCTCTGTGTAACTCTAACTTTCAAATAAATAAACAAATAAATAAACCTTAAAAAAAGATATATAAGCTTTAAAAATGGTCCCAGGAGGCTGCTGAAGAGGTGATAAACTGATGGACTGATGTCTGGAAAGGTGCGATGGCAGAGTTCTCAGATTCCAAAAAAGTGGAATTTAAAAACCACGATCATTCTGATCAGTAAAAAGTAGATGTCATGGTTCTTTGCTAGAAATGAGAAAGCGTCCATTTAAATGACTGAATAGTTCTGAATTAACTGGCTTGAATTCGTGTATATGTACATGTAGCCTAATGGACTGAGAAAAGATGGCGCCCTTGCTCCAAAGCGGAAATGGGTGAAAGTGCTTTTGCTGCAGCTCAGGGCGCGGGTCTGCCAGGCTGGTGATGCTGCCTCGTACTTCAGACAGTCACCAACCCTGCCTTCCCGTACGAAGGCCAGGGAGCGGTCACAGGCCTAACATGGTTTGCTCATCTCACTCCCTCTTATTCTGCCATCAGGTGATGCTCCTCCAGTGTCCTGTGTACACGGGGACAAGACAGCCAACGGTGACTTTGCAGTCTCAGGATCCAGATGAGGTTTCAAACATCACCTCTGCCACATATGTCTGTGTTTTTTTGTTCAAAGATTTTTCTCTTTCTCCTGCATTCATTTGTCCATATCCAAAAACCAGTCGTGGGGTGGGAATCTGGTGTGGCAGTTACGTCACCGTCGGGATGCCTACATCCCATTTCAGAGTTCCGGGTTTGAGTCCCGGCTTGACTCCCCAGTCCAGCTGCCGGCTACCGTGCATCCTGTGAGGCAGCGGGTACCTCACTGAGTGGTCGGGTCTCACCCACGGGGAGACCTGGGAGAAGCTCCTGGCTCTTGGCTTTGGCCTGGCCCAGCCCTGGCTGTTGCATATATTTGGGGAGTGAACCAATGAATGGGAGATTTCCAACTGTCCCTCTTCTAATATTCAAAAAAGTAAAAATTATTTTAATAAAAAATAGTCACGTGCCACATGTTTCAGTCTGTAATGAACTGCATGGTAATCCCATAAGCTATTAAATTGTTTAGTGACATTTTAACTCTCAACATCAGAGTACAATGTATTCTTCACACATTGGCGATGCTCTTGCAAGCAAACCTACTGTACTTACTGCCGGTCACATAAAAGTATAGTGCACTGATTTGGCGCTGTGGTGTAGGTTAAGCCTCCAGCTGCAGTGCCCACATCCCTTATGTTTGCCGGTTCAAGTCCTGGCTGCTCCACCTCTGATCCAACTCCCTGCTAAAGCACCTGGGAAGCCAATGGAAGATGGCCCAAGTCCTTGGGCCCCTGCAGTCTTGTGGCAGATCTGGAAGAAGCTCCTGGCTCCTGGCTCCAGTCCGGCCCAGTTGGGGAGTGAACCAACAGGTGGAAGATTCTCTCTCTCTCCTCCTCCATTTCTGCTTTTCACACAAATAAAATCAATCTTTTAAAAAAAGAATTATGCACAATACGTAACACTTGGTAATAAATCATGCCACTGATACTCACTGTGACACAGCATTTTCGCGTACACGCCTACTTATCAGCATGGCACGTTAGGTCAGCAGCCGCACACGCCTTGTGTTTACCACGTCCCTTGATGTGTCCAGCAGGGGCACTGGCTGACTGCCCTACACCTTCTCGTTTGTGTAAGTCTAGTCCACCACGTTTGCACAAAGGACTGCCCAGCGCCGCGTTTCCTGGGAGTTTATCCCCGACATTGAGTGACGCGTGACTGTACTGATGGACAGGCTATCTTTCCTACTGGAAGCTGCTTTCTGATGAGACCCCGCAAACAGCACTACCCTGCCTTCCCCAAGCTCCTCACCCCTCAGCTCCTGGGAGTACAGCAAAAACCTTTTTTTTTTTTTTTTTTTTTGACAGGCAGAGTGGACAGTGAGAGAGAGAGAGACAGAGAGAAAGGTCTTCCTTTGCCGTTGGTTCACCCTCCAATGGCCGCCGCTGCAGCCGGCGCACCGCGCTGATCCTGGCAGGAGCCAGGAGCCAGGTGCTTTTCCTGGTCTCCCATGGGGTGCAGGGCCCAAGCACCTGGGCCATCCTCCACTGCACTCCCTGGCCATAGCAGAGAGCTGGCCTGGAAGAGGGGCAACCGGGACAGAATCCGGCGCCCCAACCGGGACTAGAACCCGGTGTGCCGGCGCCGCAAGGTGGAGGATTAGCCTATTGAGCCACGGCGCCAGCTAGCAAAAACCTTTTTAAAACCATCCTGTGTAACTCAGAGATTCCCGGCTGAAGCCCCCTACAGTTCCGGTGGCTGGTAAAACTCAGCGTATCACAGACCAAGGTGGCTCCTTCCAACTGCAGATTCCCGAAACAGCTCTGCTGGCCCCATCTGTAATGGCAGATGCTGTCCACATCTGCCAAGAGCCTTCGAGGCTGGATTCTCTAAGGACGGCTTTCTACACCCGAGGATGGGCTCTGCAGGCTCACGCAGGGGGATCCGTAGTGTGTCCCACTGCACGTGAGAAAAACTTCACTAGGGAAAAGTTTGTTCTTGGGTTTGTAAATCTTGCAAGGGCTCTTAATGTGGACATTTCTTTAGTGATGAAAGCCAACAGAAACCTTTGGTTATCCAGATACAAAATCCAAAGACTGTTTATTTGGGAGCTGTCTGGCTTTCTTCATAAATACATTTTGTAGGGTGAAGGCTCACAAACAATGGAAATGGAAAATCCACAACTGCAAGACGGGAGTGGGAGAAGGCGGTGCTGCAGTCCCGCACCAGCAGGAGGCTCACGGCTGGTTTTACACTCACAACGGCTCGGGCGAGGCTGGAGATGGGGAGCAGCGTGACCCTCACACTTTGGTTTTACACTTTAGAAAGCATAACTCAGTGCTCCCCCCCCCCCATCCGTCGCATTCTTTAGAAGACTTCTTTGTATTTCTTAAGCACTGTAGGGCACCTGATCAAAGATTTTAAAATATCAGTGGTAACGGTGGCTTCCAAGTGACACGGTGTCCTGAGTTCTGCACGGGAATGGACAAGCCTGCTCTCAGGGGAAGCGGTGCAGCCGTGAGTTACGGGGCCAGCATCTCGCATCACAGTGCCAGGGTTCAATTTCTGGCACTGGTTCCTGACTCCGGCTTCCTGTCAGTGCAGACCCTGAGAGACAGTGGTGATGGCTCAAGTAACTGGGTCTCTGCCAGTCTCATGGGAGACCCTGGAGGGTCTTCCTGACTCCTGATGTCAGCTCACGCCCAGCCTCAGCTGTTGTGGGCCTGTGGGCAGTGAACCAGTAGATGAGAACGCTTTCTTTCTGTCTCTGCTTCCCAAATAAACCAAAAAAGAAAAAACTGCCCTGAGGTTTGCTAGCACCCAAAATGCATTTCCAGTTGGTACTGGGAAGTTACCCCTGAACTCCCAGAGGGGTATTCCCATCCAAGCACAAGTGTCCTCCCTACCCACAAAGTAGCTTGCCTTTGCTGACTGCAGACAGACAGACAGACACACACACACACACACTCTCTCTCTCCACCCCCCACGATGTGGATTAGACAATGAACAGCCACACTGCACCTCCAAGGGAGGGGCGCACAGGCAGCAGCTTTCAAAAGGAGAAGTCGCTTTACTTTCTTTTAAACTTGCAATGTTTGTCTTTATTTTGTTCTTTATATTTTGAAAGTGAAAAGAAATAGTATTGAGTCAATTTCTTTTTGTTTTTAAATATTTGTTCTATGTATTTACAAGCCTTAAAGTTGCTCTAAAGATTTCAAAAGTATTAAGAGTACTTTTCCCAGGGTAGCACTTTTTCTTTGTGAACAATTCTTGGAGGTCTCTGGTCCACAGCCTTTCCTTCTGTTCCAAGGTTATGTATGCTTTGATTACTATTGTGATTTTGTTTTTAATTTTCTGAAGCAAGCTGAGAGGCAGGCAGAAAGATTTGATGCCAAAAGAAAAAAAAAAAAAAACAAAATAAAATAAAACCAACCGAACCCAAAACAATCTTTCTGACCTTGTTCACCCCAAACCTTTTAAATCTGTACTAACTGCTATGCCTTAAAACAAACGTGAGGTGCATCTGAAGGGGAGGGACTTTTATTTCTCTGCGCTTCTATTATACAAGTTGTTTACAGAAACTGCAAATTAAAAAATTACACTGGCATTTGCAGTCCTTAAAATAAATTAAAAGTTCTCAACTTTTTTTGTTTGCTAAACGTGTTTTTTTTTTTTTAAGTATGAGTCCTTGTTTAAAAAGAAAAGATTAAAACAGAAAATATTTTCTATAAATAATGCGTGTATTTGGTTTTCGTGCTCCCGCCCTCAGGCTGCAGTCTGCGTCTCCAGGACCGTTCCCTCCACGACCACCTCTCCCCCTCCCACTCGTGCACGCGTGGGCGTCCCCGCGAGAATTGGCCTTGCTGCACTGCGATTGGCGAAGACGTGAAACTTAGAAAAATACTGAAATTGCTTCTTTCGCGATCTCGGGGGTACTGCAGGTTTAGTTGTCCTCGGACTCCTCCTCCGCCTCCCGCAGCCACGTGAAGAAGGCGGTGACCGACTTCAGCGCCACGCCCTTGCCGTTCTGCTCCGCGGGGTCCTTGCTGCTCTCCCACTTGTAGAAGGCGTCCTCCGAGATCACCTCCTCGTCGTACAGGCAATCAAAGAACATCCGCAGCAAGTCTGCAGGGCGAAACAGAGACGTCGTAGCGCTGGGGCGCCGCGGAGGGGCGGAGGGACGCGAGCGCGCAGACAGGTCACCCCACCCGCAGTGTGAGCGGACACCGCGACTCTCCAACCCAGAGAAGACCCGCGTAGTCCAATTTGGTCCTGCTTCCCTGCTCGGTTTGAGCTACTTTCGGGTAACAGTAAAGCTGTTTTATATCACAGAATCCTCATCCTAATGGTTCTGAAAATCAAAGGCAAGGGTAACTTTTATGTTCTTCCTTGTATGTTTCTCCATGGTTTGACGGCTTTTTATAAATTTTGGAGGGAAAATGCAAGATACACTTTTCTCCTCCTAATGTGTGTGTGTGTGTGTTTAAAGATTTGTTTAATTTTTGGAAAGGCAGAGTGACAGAGTCAAAGAGGGAGGGAGAAAGAGACAGAGAGAGAGAGAGAGAGATCTTCCTCCTGCTGGTTTACATCCCAAATGACTGCAATGGCCAAGGGCTGGACAAGGACAAAGCCCGACGCCCGGACTCCATCCTGCTCTGCCATGTGAGCGGGGCCCACGTGCTGGCTCATCTGTTGCTTTCCCGGGCGCATTAGCAGGAAGCAGGGCAGCTGGGACTTGATCCAGCAACCGATCTCGAATGCCACCAGCAATGCAGCATTGCAAGCAGCTGGGCACACACCAGCCCCTCTGAAAGACTCCTAACATGAAAAGAGTGATGGTTTATATTGCAGAATACAGGCAAAAATCTATCTCATCTGTATTCAAACTGTAGTTGCAATTTGCTTTTTTAAATGTTCAAGGTTTTTGGATAATTTTTTTTGTGATTTCCTTTATTATTTTGAGTGGTAGTACAATATGTTATTTGTGAATTACTGAATCTATTAAGTCTGTCTCCTATTGAAGAACACTTAAGTTTTGTTTTTTTTTTTTCTTAAAGGATATTTCATTTGAGAGGTAGAATTACAGACAGTGAAAGGGAGAGAGAGAAAGGTTTCCTTCCGTTGGTTCACTCCCCAAAGGCCTCAATGGACGCAGCTGTGCTGATCCGAAGCCAGGAGCCAGGTGCCTCCTCCGGGTCTCCCATGTGGGTGCAGGGGCCTAAGCACCCAGGCCATCCCCCACTGCTTTTCCAGGCCACAGAAGAGAGCTGGACTGGAAAAGGAGCAGCCAGGACTAGAACCAGCCTCCATTATGGGATGTCAGCGCCTCAGGCGGAGGATTAACCTACGGCGCCACGGTGCCAGCCCTGTTTTTGGGTAATTTTAATTGATTCATTGTCATGAGGGAAATATGGCTTATATTATTATTAGAGATATTAAACCTTATTAGAGGGTTTGAGAGACCAAGAGTGAGAGCAAGAGTGAGAGCGCTCCCATTGGTTTAGTTCCTAAATGGCTATATAGGCAGAAGCCAAGAGCTGGGAACTCAGTCCATGACTTCCATATGGGTGGCAATCAGTAGGGACATGACTGCTGCCTCCCGTGGTCACATTAGTAGGAAGCTGCACTGAGGAGCTGGAGCTGGGGAATAACCCAGGCACTATCAGACGGGATGCAGGTGTCCCCGATGGGGTCTTCACTCCTTAGGCCAAACACCCATTTCTATATTCAGTTTCTTAAAAATTCACTCACTATGGGCTTTTTTTTTTTTTTTTTTTTTTTTTTTTTTTTTTTTACAGGCAGAGTGGACAGTGAGAGAGAGACAGAGAGAAAGGTCTTCCTTTGCTGTTGGTTCACCCTCCAATGGCCGCCGCGGCTGGCGCGCTGCAACGGGCGCACCGTGCCTATCCAAAGGCAGGAGCCAGGTGTTTCTCCTGGTCTCCCATGCGGGTGCAGGGCCCAAGCACTTGGGCCATCCTCCACTGACCTCCCGGGCCACAGCAGAGAGCTGGCCTGGAAGAGGGGCAACCGGGACAGAATCCGGCGCCCCGACCGGGCCTAGAACCCAGTGTGCTGGCGCTGCAAGGCAGAGGATTAGCCTATTGAGCCGTGGCGCTGGCCTCACTATGGGCTTTTAAAATTCACCTATAGTCAGCTCTCTAATCATTCACATTAATGGAGGGAGGCAGAGGAATAAACAATAAATACCTAGGGATAATAGGTTTAGAATGAATTATATTAAGATTTTTCTTGATAATTATTTTCATAATTATACTAGTCAAGCTAATCTTGAAGTCACTTGTCAACCTCAGTTGTTCTATCCAGAAATGGAAGCAAGCGGAGCCAGCGTCGTGGCTCACTTGGTTAATCCTCCACCTGTGGTGCCGGCATCCCATATGGGCGCTGGGTTCTAGTCCTGGTTGCTCCTCTTTCAGTCCAGCTCTCTGCCGTGGCCTGGGAGTACAGTGCAGGATGGCCCAAGTGCTTGGGCCTCTGCACCCGCATGGGAGACCAGGAAGAAGCACCTGGCTGCTGGCTTCAGATCGGCACAGCGCTGGCCATGGCGGCCATTTGGAGAGTGAACCAACGGAAGGAAGACCTTTCTCTCTGTCTCTGTCTCTCACTGTCTATAACTTTACCTGTCAAAAAAAAAAAAAAAAAAAAAAAAGAAATGGAAGCAAGCACCCAGGATTCTCTTGGTGGTCAATCTAGAATTAACCGGGGATTTCTCTGCAGGGATAACTGAAGCTGCCGGTTCTTGGAGATACTTTAAATTTAATCTGACTCATAGGGCACACAGCGTCAATTCACCTGACTTCACTTGTTCCATTTGACAAGTTAGTGTCTGACGTCAAATGACATTTCCAAGATCTCCAGAGAAAGAGAACCAGTACGGTTTCTTGACTCAGACTTACTTGGCTCTTCCTTTCTTCTACGGATGGTCTGTTTCAGTCTTTCCCTCTACTTCCCAAAGGGATTTAGCAGCACTCGCAAAGGAAAACTGCAAGTGCCACGGCCTGCGGTGCTGCTGTCCCCGAGACAGCCACAGCCTACCCACCGCACATTTTAACTGGGTTTTCAAGACTTAACAGAATTCACTGATTAACCAGTACCACCGAGACCTGGGTAGTTAAGAATCAATCACAACCCTTAACTAACAGCTATCCTACAATGCTTTGGTAAGTGAACCGTGGTTCCCACACTTCAGGCCTTCAGTGGGCGCCTGAGGACTCTGAGTTTCATCCTAGAGATCATTAACCATTTTCATGCCCCAGACCTGTGTTATCCAATATGGTAGTCACTAGACACATGTGGCTATTTATTTTTTAAAATTTATTTACTTATTTGAAAGGCAGAGTGACAGGGAGACACATAGAAAGAGATATTCTATCACTGAGCCATTCCCCAAATGTTCACAGTAGCCAGGACTCGGCCAATCCAAAACCAAAAACTCCCTCTGGGTCTCTCACTGAAGTGGCAGGAACCCAAGTATGTGGGCCATCATCTGCCAGCTCCCAGGATGTCAGCAGGAAGCTGGATCAGAAGCATGGAATAGCTGGTGCTTGAACCAGACTCCATGTGGAATGCAGTTTCACAAGCTACTCCAGAACGCCTGCTCCACATATGGCTATTTACATTAAGAAAGAAGAAAATTTCAGTCCCTCAGCCACACTGCTATATTTAAGGGTGTTACCTGCCAAATGTAGTTAGTTCATGGTTACCATATTGGATGGTACAGATACACTTCTTTTATTGCAGAAAATTTGATTAGACCTGCCTTAGAATGAGGATTAAATCACTAATAAACTAGTTTTCATACACACACACACACACATACACACACATATATATAAATTTTGGTTTTCTTTAACTTATTTTGGGGGGGGGTGTGGGAGAGGGAGAAAGAGAGAGAGGACTATGGGTGACAGAGCTCCACTCACTGGTTCATTCTCTAAATGCCTGTAATGGCTGGGGGCCCAAAGCTGGGAACACAGCCCAGGTTTCTCATGTGGGTGGCAGGGGCAGGGTGGCAGAACCCAACTACCTGACTCAATATCACTGCCCCCCACAGTCTGAATTAGAAGGAGGGTGGGGTCAGAAGACAGAGCCAGGAGTCCAATCCAGGCACTCTGACGTGAAATGCAGGTGTCCTACCTGGCATCTTAACCGCTGGCCAAATACCTGCTCCTCAGTTAGCTTTCTTAACGCCGCTTTCTCATATAGGCCAAGAATATAGAAGACTCAAGGCACAGGCCTTAGCATGGAGGTGAGGAGCTACACATCCGCAGGGGGCCTGAGTTCCACCCCTGGCTCACTCCTGACGCTGGCTTCCTGCCACTGCGGGCCCCTGGAGCAGTGACGATGTCTGTAGTCACTGGGTTCCTGTCACAACGCAGGAGAACCTGGATCGCACTCTCGGCTTCTGGGTCTGGCCTGGCCATTGTGGGCATTTGGGAAGTGAAGTAGGAGATAGGCGCGCGTTCTCTCTCTCTGTCCTGTATCTTAAGTAAGTAAAAATTTCTGAAAAAGTTCAGATTTATTAAATTTGTTGGTTATCGACTTTTTCTTACTAATGACTCTTTTACTGTCCCCTTTCCAAAACCAAAACATCTCTGAAGCCTTGCCCTGAATAAAACTGAACTACTGGTTGGGATAATTGCACCAAGAGGTAAACTTACTGGCAGGCTGGTCAAGTTTTACTATTGATGCTTGTAGCGCATAAAGTGCTTGCAGCTCCTTCTCCGTGTCCGAGTCCAGGTACTTGAGTAAGATCGGCACTCTCTGCTTGATGACAGCAGTGTCCACCCGGAAGGTCGAGCAGTCAGCTGGAGGCGACAGAAGGACCGGCGTTACCCCCACGGCGTTACCCACAGCACCCTCTCCAGTTTTCTGAGTGCAGAGAAGCCATCTGTCTCTGCGAGGGAAGAGGAACCAAGGGGTCCGAGGCAAAGCTTCTGCAACAGGTAAGGCTCTCACACCTAACGGGTGTTCTCTCAGCAGTAACAGAAGACACGGAGGTGCAGTCATTCTGAGTGCTGGCCTCCCTCAAGAGCAATGCATCCAATATTATCCTTAATTATAATGAAGCGACAGGTTTCTTCATAAACTACAAAGTAACATTGATCAAATGTCTTACCATAAAAAATGATAGGTAGGTGAGCTGATGAATATGTTAATTAGCTTGAATTAATCATCCCTTATACATAAACCTATTAAAACATCATTTTACCTCATAAATGTATGTGATGATTTATCAAAAATAAAAGCAATAAAATAGGAATTTGAATAATTAAAAAACATTAACAAAGGAAATTAAAGTGAAGTTAATGCAAATCTTTTCAGAAGAATAAAAGAACTGGACGATCCTATTATTCCTAGGAAGAAAAGACTATAAAAGGCTAACTGTGCTAGTGGCACATAGGATCCCCTACATCTTCGGTGGTAGATAGAACAAGGGGCCAAAGAAGGCAGCCTTCAGCTTCAGGCCCAAAAGCCAAGGTTTTATGTTCTCTGTAAGTTACCACTGGGACAAAGTTCTGTTTATAAAAGCAGCCTTTGTACTTCCAATTTTGATTTTAAAACATCAAAGTCTTATGGTTCCAAAGATACAGAGAGTGATTTTAAATGAAGACTTTCTATTTAGTTTGCTATTTACCTTATTAAAGAACTAACATTTGAAAGAAATAATGTGACAGAGGATCTTAAGCTGAATCTTAATAATGAAGCTAAATCAAGGGGCAGGAAACTATCTTCTAAAATACAAGGACAAATCTGAAATTCTGAGACAACGTCTGGGCTGATGAAACATTGACAGAAATGTGGATTTCTACCTAGAGTGAAGCAGATATCCTCATTAAATATTGCATGATGCTTAGAATATGTAGACATTCTACCAATTCTAATCCTACCTATCTATACAATTTATAAACATCCAATAAAATTATCTTACCATATAAAATAAACATAGAGCAGAAAAAACTATTGGCATTTTCTTCCCTTATGGTATTTACATAAAACAACTTTTCTAATGAGAATGACGTTAGGTTAAGATAATGCAATCAATTTATTGTGGCTCCTGAATGGGAGGAGGATGTGGCCTTGAATGCTGTGTTGGAACGGGGAGGGAAATGCCGCCCGCACGTTGTAGACAACACCCATGAGCACGCAGCTCGCTGTTGGACTGAAGGACACAAGGCGTGCAGTAGTGCTCAGATCTGGCTTCTCTGCAGGAGAACACCAGGCACTGTGAACAGAAATGGCACCTGTTTGCCCAGAACCTGGCCTACACAGGGCGAGTTTTGAAGACTATAAATTCAGACCATTGAATCAGTACCTGACACAGATGTTAAGAGCTACACTTACCGATAATAGCTGCTTTACAAACGGCTGTCATTAAAGCTCTAAGGAATGTGGGTGAACTCATCTGGCTTTCATCTAGGTTAGCCTGGAGTCAAAAACAAATGGAACATTTAAAAGAGCCCCTGCACACCAGAAAGACTTCCCCTAAATGAGGGCTGCCCTGGTACTAAGGTAGATAGTAACATTTGTTGTATTCTTGCAAAAACTAAACATTTAATTCATTGAAAAACAATACATTACCAGCAGTTCTATGAGAGTACGTTCTAAAAAAGCAGGCAGTTCAGAGTGCCTACCACCGCCTATCCTCTGCTCAGTCAGTTACACAGTGTTGCATGTGTACCGTGTACACTTGAGAGTACATTCTTTTGGGGCCAGCAGTATGGCTGAGCGGGTAAAGGCTCTGCCTGCAATACTGGCATCCCAAATAGGTGCCGGTTCAAGTCATGGCTGTACCACATCCAATCCACCTCCCTGCTCATGTGCCTGGGAAAGTAGCAGAAGATGGCCCACATGCACCCACGTGGGAGACCTGGAAGAAGCTCCTGCCTCCTGGTTTCAGATGGGCCCAGCTCCAGCCATTGCAGCCATCTGGGAAGTTAATCAGTAGTGAATGGAAGATTACTGTCTGTCTCTTCCTTTCTTTCTCTCACTCTGTAACACTGCTTTCCAATAATTCTTTTAAAAAAAATTTTTTTAAAGAGTGCATCCTTTTAAAAACACTGTTTCTGGTGCCAGTGCTGTGGCATAGAGGGTTAGGTATATGGTTCAGCATATGCAGTGCTGACATCCTCTATGGGCACCAGTTCAAGTTCTAGCTACTCCACTTCCAGCTCCCTGCTAGCATGCCAGGGAAAGAAGCAGAGAATGGCCTGGGTCCTTAGTCTCCTGAACCCACATGGGAGAACTGGCTTCCAGCTTTGGCCTGGCCCAGCCCTGGCTGTTGCAGCTATCTGGGGAGTGAACCAGTGGATGAAAGACCTCCCTTTCTCCCTCTCTATAACTCCAACTTTCAAATAAATAAAATCAATCTTTTAAAAAATTCTTTCCTTGGGAGCCGGCACTGTGACATAGTGAGTAAAGCCGCCACCTGCTGTGCTGGGATCCCATATGGGCACCAGTTCAAGTCCTGGCTGCTCCACTTCTGATCCAGCTCTCTGCTATGGCCTGGGAAAACAGTGGAAGATGGCCTAAGTGCTTGGGCCTCTGCACCAGCGTGGGAGACCTGGAAGAAGCTCCTGGCTCCAGATCAGCCCAGCTCTAGCCATTGCAGCCATTTGAGGAGTGAACCAGCAGATGGAAGACCCCTCTCTCTCTTGGTGCCTCTGCCTCTCTCTAATTCTGCCTTTCAAATAAATAAATCTTTAAAAAAAATTCTTTCCTCAATACTCAATCCACATAAAGACACAATCCATATTTAATAAAAATCACACAACTTTAGTGTATTTAAAAAAATATTTATTTGAGACAGACATAGAGAGCTTCCATCTTCTGATTCACTCTCCAGATGCCAAAAACTGCCTGTGGCTAGGGCTGAAGCAAGGAACCAGGAACTCAAGCAAGGCCTCTCAGATGGGTGACAGAAACCCAATTACTGGAACCATAACCACTCCTTCCCAGGTTCTGAATTAGCAGGAAGCTGGACTCGGGAGTGGAGCTGGGTATCAAACCCAGGTATTTTGATCAAGGACAAGGACATCCTGACCATCAGGCTAAACCCCTGATCCTGCAGAACATTTTATTTTTAAAGATTTATTTATTTATTTGAAAGACAGAGCTACAGAGAGACAGAAGCAGACAGAGAGAGAAAGGTCCTCCATCTGTTGGTTCACTCCCCAAATGGCCACAAAACCAGAGCTGGGCTGATCAGAAGCCAGGAGCCAGGAGCCTCCTCCGGGCCTCCCACACAGGTGCAGGGGCCCAAGGACTTGGGCTTTCTTCTGCTGCTTTGCCAGGCCATAGTAGAGAGCTAGATCAGAAGTGGAGCAGCTGGGACTGGAATCAAACCCCGTATGGGATGCCGACACTGCAGGGGGTGGCTTTACCCGCTACAGCGCAGGCCCTGCAGTGTATTTTACAGACTGTACTTCCTCAGTGGTTTACAACTATTCTTACATATACCAATATTGCTTTTTCATCTTCATTTTAACATGAATTAAGGGTTAATCTTAAACATTGCCTCAAAGAAATCTTTCAGGAGGTGAAAAAATTAACACTATTTCTTAAGAATGGCAAGAAAAAAATCCATATAGAAATGTTGAGTAAACGGGTACCCAGATTTGTTTTTAGTTTATTTCCCTTAAGATCTTATCTTATTGCTAAGAGATGCTGTACTACGCCAGATGAGTGACAAAAGGAAACCGTAGGAATTACTTTTTTTTCTAGGCAGGTGTTTTAAATACTTTTCAAAGTTTACATTCCGTATGCCTATGGACAGAATGCTTGTTTCAATTCCTTTAACAGCACAGCCTGACATTTCCCACTGAAAAGATCAGCCTTAAAATGACTGGCTAGAAGAATTAGATATGTCATTACAGACTTCTGTGTATAAGCTAACAATTCCAAAGATATTCAGAAATAAGTCTGAAGTTGATGAATTTTCTACTGTGGTAGAGAATCAGTAGCTTTCTCTCTCTGCTGAGTGCCTAACCTGAAACATCACTTGAGAGGAACTGACGGTCTCTGGAGAGTAAGTTAAGACTGGTTAACAAATCAGGTGGCCATCGCTGTGGGCCATCAGCAGCGCTGAGCATGGGGGGCTGTGTTTTGGTCAGAGGTTTCATTACCTGTTTTCCCTACAGAACAGAACATGCAGCACCACTGCCAACAGCTAAGGGGGGGTGGGGAGTGGGTGCCACGAGCTGTATGTGGAAGACCCCATGATGGTTTCTGTGTTGCAGGCAGATGCTGCTTTATACCTCTTTAAGAATACTGGACCTAGAATGAAGCCAGGCTGGTCTGGCCCTGCAGAATTACTTCTACAGTGTCTGAACAATTATTTTTGAAGAATGAATGAGACAATGACAATATACCATTCTTTTTCTGTTTCACAATAATTAATAAACAAGTTGACAGAGCTTTTTAAAGCACTGAATATCACCTGAAATCTTCAAGGAATTAGAGTTTTTAGCACAGTCTGAGAAAATAAACAAATCAGCTAAATGTAACTAGGAAATAACAGTAATAGTAATTCCAAACCATTTGTTTCTTAAGAAATAAACTGCATATTTCTTTTACCAAACAGAGCTACATACTCTCACTTCTGGTATCCAAGAGTGCAACAGCAGCAGGTGTTTATCCTAGATGACACCCACACCCCACACTGCAAGGCCCTGGCTTTGATTTCTGGCTCCAATTTTCTACTAATGCAGACCCTGGAAGGCAGGAGTGATGGCTCAAATAACTCAGCTCCTGCAACCCACACAGGAGACCTGGATTTCATTCCTGGCTCTTGGTTTCAGTCCTGGCCCAGTCCTAGCTATTGCAGGCAACTGGGGAGTGAACCAGGGGACTGGACTGTGCACGTATGCATGCTCTCTCTCTCTCTCAAATTAAAAAGTACAGAAGGCTTGAAGAAAACTGTAAAGAAGATTAAATAACAGATAATTGGGATAGATAAGCAAGTCCTACTTACATATTTACATAATGCTATTAGACACAGAAGAACGCATGTCTCTGTACTGTGAACTGTTACTGTTAGGTTTTTACCTTTTTATTTCTGTTTTTTTAAGTCATCTTTATTAAGTAGAATTTATTTTCAGTAAAATTTATTTTCTGCCTTTTCTTTAAGAATAATGAACTGTCGGTATGCACTATGTAGAATAAATATTGTTAAAAAAGTGAAGCCTAACACAGCATTATTTTGCAATCCATGGGAATATAAAAGACAAAACACTGAAATGATGGTGATCTATGAAAAATTACAGAGAAAGAGAATAATGTAAAATATGCAAACCTGACTTCCAAAACAGAAAAGAAGGTATATGGTATCATAAAGATGCTAAAAAAACTGATGCTAATTTTTATCCTAGATGCTAGAACAAATTATAATATGAATGACTTACAAGTTTTAGGAAAGAGATGGTTACACTAGAAAAATAAGTCATGGCAAACTAATCCTTTCTTTCTGATTAAATTATCACATTGTAGCTCAAACAGATAGAACTTCTTTGGACTCGAGTAAGGCATTTGACAAATTCGCTAACAACAGATACCCATCAGAAGAAAGATGAAAAGAGGACTAGACAGCAGAATGACATCAAATAACAACAAGCTGGAGCGTTCACAGAGGTGAGGTTGGTGCTGGCCCCTGAAGGTATGCTGCTTTGTCTTTGGTCCTACTGGTTCACACATTCACACCCATAACCTGGTTGAGGCCAAGGTAGGTGTGTTAATGAAACGTATGGATGATGCAAATGAAAAAGATGTTAAGCTAATTTTACAATCCAGTTGGACCCATAATGTCCTCAGACTAAAAGAGGTTCTAAATTAAGACAAATATAAACAGAAATAAATGTTAAAAATTTTTTTTTGGTTCAACAAATAGACAAGTAAGTTCAGGATGACAGAAAAATGACTAAACTACAGAACATAAAAGAAGAGGTACTGCATGACTGAGAAGCAACTGTGTTGAGTGTGGTCCGACTTCCAGAAGCACAGACTCTAAAATAACATCTGCAATAAACCTCCTGACTCACACTAGTGGACACACCAGTGGTCATGCTGAGTTTGCACATGCCATTCTGAGATGGATGTTGAAAATCCAGGCTATGTTGGGATCAGAACAACCCGACAAGAGTCTAATATATGAATTTCCAATATGCAGCAAAATGGACACAACTGATAGCCATTGTCTACATTCTCAGTAAATTAGGGTCTTGCTTTTTACTTGCTAAACTTTTTTTTTTTTTTTTTTGACAGGCAGAGTGGATAGTGAGAGAGAGAGACAGAGCGAAAGGTCTTCCTTTTCCGTTGGTTCACCCTCCAATGGCCGCTGTGGCCAGCGTACTGCGCTGATCCGAAGCCAGGAGCCAGGTGCTTCTCCTGGTCTCCTACATGGGTGCAGGGCCCAAGCACTTGGGCCATCCTCCACTGCCCTCCCAGGCCACAGCAGAGAGCTGGACTGGAAGAGGAGCAACCGGGACAGAATCCGGCACCCCGACCTGGACTAGAACCTGGGGTGCCGGCGCCTCAGACAGAGGATTAGCCTAGTGAGCCACAGTACTGGCCCACTAAACTTCTTATTTGGTGAAGTAGTAAGTCTTCTTCACTGTAATTTTTCACTGAAATGTTATTTCTAAAGTAAAAAAAGGGAGGAGAAAGGAAGGTAGGAGGGAGGAAGAGAATATCATCATGTTTTTTTAGAAGAGATTCATTTGGCTGGCGCTGCGGCTCAATAGGCTAATCCTCCGCCTGTGGTGCTGGCACATCGGGTTCTAGTCCCGGTTGGGGCGCCTGATTCTTTCCTGGTTGCCCCTCTTCCAGTTCAGCTCTCTGCTGTGGCCCGGGAGTGCAGTGGAGGATGGCCCAAGTGCTTGGGCCCTGCACCTGCATGGGAGACCAGGAGAAGCACCTGGCTCTTGGCTTGGGATCACCGTGGCGCGCTTGCTGCAGAGGCCATTGGGGGGTGAACCAACAGCAAAGGAAGACCTTTCGCCCTGTCTCTCTCTCTCTTACTGTTCACTCTGCCTGTCAAAAAAAAAAAAAAAAAAAAAGAGTCATTTATTTAATTGAAACGCAGAATTAGAGAAGGGGCAGGGAAGAGACAGAGAGAGAGGTTTCTGGTTCACTACCCAAAAGGCTGCAACAGCCAGGACTGGGCCAAGCCAAAGCCAATAGCCAGGAGTTTCATCTGAGTCTCTCATATGGGTGCAGGGCCATCTTTCACTGCTTTCCCAGGCCATTAGCAGGGAGCAAGAAGGGAAGTGGAGCAGCCAGGACTTGGAACTGGCACCCATGTGGGCCTCTGGTGTTGCAGGCTGCAGCTTTACCTGCTATGCCACAGTGCCAGCTCACCATCATGTTTTTAGAATTGTTGGCAGCTCACCATCATGCTTTTAGAATTGTATCTACAAACCATATTGAAGCTGTTAAAATTAATTAAAAAATTTTTAAAAAGGAAGGATGAAAAGAACATAGAAAGGTAGACAGGGATACAATGACAGGCAATTACAGTTATTTAAAAGGCTCCCACTAAAGTGGGACAGTAGACTTACTATTCCATGTTGGCCTTGGGGAAAAAAGACAGGAAGATAAAATCATCAGATGCTTCACTATTTCTCAACCCAGTAAAAGGGCTGTAAAGGAGGATTATACAGGAGGGAGAGGTGAGGTCAGCTCTTCAGAGCTTCCATTCAAATCTGATTATTCTATGATCTCATAAAAATGTGCAAAAATAAAACATCATTCATAAACTAGAATTACTATTTAAAGAACTTATAGTAACATTAAAACAGACATGATCAACACAGACTATAAGACAAATAAAATTTAAAATTTTCACAAGGGGCCATTGATACAAAAGTGTGAGCCAACATATTTCATAATAATTATTTATATATTCCTTATTAATATTATCTAGGACAGAATTTAAAATATGAGGACATTCAGAAAGAAACATAACTTTCTGAATGGTAAAATGTGGAGCATATGCTATACTAACAAGAAACCAGAGGGATGGCTGTTTGGATATTTTAACTTTAAACAATCCTGTGAATCAAAAACATAGAAAAATAACCTTAGTATTTCAGGCACATGGAAATATACGAATAAAATCTAACTTCATGAAGGTTAAAAGTGCCCATGGAGAAAAAGGATAGAACAGGTGGACAGCGAAGTTCCCACAGGAATTTTCTTGCACAGCTATCGGGGTGGGTGACGCAGTCTTTATACCTCTACCCAGTCAAAGATCTGCTCATCATTTGCTTTGTCCTCAATGATGAGTTTCTCGAGTCGCTTGTATAGCTCTTCAGCAGAGAGTTCTTTCTTTGAAAGTGCTTCAGAGACCCAGGAACTATCAGACTCCATGAAGTCCAGCCTCTGAAACATAAAATGTTAACATATTAATAAAACTCAGCATTATCAACATCCTGAGAGAAAACAAAATCACAGGCCATGTCTTCTACTTTGCGTGGAATCAAAACGATCAGAAAGCTGGTTCTGAAAAGACTGACGCTATCATGCTTCTGAACACTCCTCCAACTTCACATTCTGTCTATCTCTGACTCTCCTTAGAAAACAAGCAGAAAAGAAGCACTACTATAATGATCTCTGTGGCTATGCTTCTATCAAAATCATTCTGAGCTGCAGTCTTGCACCGTCATGACATGTGTCTCTAGGCTGGGTAAGAGCCCTAGGCAAGGGTACAATTTAAACCCCTTTCTGTAAACTATGGCTTAGTGTTGGAGTCATTACAAAACAGTTGTCAACACTCTAAGCTGTTGTTAAGTCCTTTGTTAAGTCCTTCATATATCACATGACCATTCTGAATCCAAGTATGAGAAATGATGCTATAACTGTTTAATTCTTATATAGTAGTTTAGAAGTTTATAATCAAAATGATTGGTAACTTTCAATGGTATAATACAATGAGGTATGTGGGTAAGCTTTGATTTATCAAATTTCACTATGAAAAACTATAAAGAATAAAATGTTAAGTGATTATTCATACAGGTTTTCTCCAACTCCCCTAAAGACTCTGTATATTCCTATATCCTACCCCCAATCACCAAAGTAAACCCACTTTAATTCTGAACTTTGTATCTCACTGTTTTGCTTCTACCACTTACATAATATCTTCTAAATGATGTTTCCCCATACAGATTTTTTTCCAACTTAATGCTTTATTTATTATTTTTGAGGTAACATTTTAAATTTATATTATAATCAAATACTTAATGTCTTCATGCAATAAAGAGGACAACAAATAAAAAGTCAGTAGCTCACGGTACAGCAGGAAAATAGGCAAAGGTTAAAACCAATGATCAGGGCCGGTGCTGTGGCATAGCAGGCTGAGCCCTGGCCTGCAGCACCAGCATCCCGTACAGGTGCCAGTTTGTGTCCTTTCTGCTCTTCTTCTGATCCAGCTCTCTGCTATGGCCTGGGAAAGCAGTGGAAGATGGCCCAAGTACTTGGGCCTTTGCATTTGCGTGGGAGACCGGAAGACAGTCCAGGCTCCTGGTTTTGGATCAGCTCAGCTCTGGCTATTGTGGCCATCTGGGAAATGAACCAGTGGATGGAAGATCTCTCTCTCTGTCTGTCCCTGTCTGTCTGTAACTCTACCTCTCAAATAAATTAATAAAAAAAAACTTAAAAAAAATCAAATAAACAGATGTTTGACCTACTCACATTATGTAAATTTTAAAATAGGCACATAATCATTAGAAGTATAGTAGTATATAATTCCCATCAATTTGTTTGACAGATTTATTTATTTATTTACTTTTAAAGATTTATTTATTTACTTATTAGAAAGAGTTACACAGAGAGAGGAGAGGTAGACAGAGAGAGAGAGAGAGAGAGGGAAAGAGGGAGAGAGGGAGAGAGGAAGAGAGGGAGAGAGGGAGGGAGGTCTTCCATCTGATGCTTTACTCCCCAGATGGCCACAAAGGCTGGAGCTGCGCGGATCTGAAGCCAGGAGCCAGGAGCCTCCTCTGGGTCTCCCACATGGATGCAGGGGCCCAAGTCCTTTCAACTGCTTTCCCAAGCCACAGCAGAGAGCTGGATCAGAAGAGGAGCAGCCGGGTCTTGAACTGGCGCCCATATGGGATGCCAGTGCTTCAGGCCAGGGCGTTAACACACTGCGCCACAGTGCTGGCCCCTTGACAAAGATTTAAAACAAAGCCTACACAGTTTTAGAAACAGTTCAGTACTGCAATTATTCTGATTCAATGTTGGTAAATTAAATATGCTACCCTTCACATTCCAATATACACACAAAAGCACAACACAATGGCTGTAAACTCTTGTGAATGGGCAGCGGGTTTTTCACAACCTTGAAACATTCTTCAAATGAATTCTAATGCAGCAAAGTGTTACTATACATACACAGAATACCTGTTTAACCAACTACCAAATCCACAAAAATAATTTGTCAGCAATTAACAACAAAATGAGGCACACTGTTAATGAAATATGAAAAAAATGGAACATAAAAGGCTTTGCCACTATCAAAGGAGTCAGTGGTGAGCTTTTAAGTTTATACTGGTTGCTGGAGAGAAATATTTCTCAAAACCCCTGTGTTTCTCCAGAAGTCATCTGAACTTGGTACCAGGAAGGCTCGGCTCTGACTCTGCAGACGACACGTGTTCTCCATGGCTCCTTGCCTGACACTCTGGTTCCCAGAAGAAGAGCGTCACAGCTGGACGTTAGGACACGGAAGTCCACGCTGTAAAGGCCGCACTGGTTTGAATGCTTTTTAAAAAGTTTTATTAGAACAATTACATCCCTAACTTCAGATTTTTGAGAGGCAGAGACACAGAGATAGAGATGAAGAGATAGAGAGACAATGCCCATCTGCTGGTTCACCCTCCGAACGCTCAGCACGCTTTAAGCCCAGAGCTGGGGATGCAATCCCTATCTCTCATGAGGGCTAAGACTTAGAAAAGTCAAGTTAATACATGAAGTCACATATTCAGCGGCAGAAAACTGAAATCTGAATCTAGGCTGATCTGACATGAAGGCAGGGACCCCACTTGAGGCATCAGTGCTGCCTCCTAGGTGTGCATTATCCAGAATCAGGAATCTGGAGCAGGGACATATATGAGCTCAGCTGTTGGGAGATGGGATGTGGGCATCCCCTAGGAGCATTTTACTTGCTAAGCCAAACACCTACCCCCATAATTTATTGAGAACCTCTGTAAGGTTAGTAATCATTTTAATTTCCACAAAAGTTCTACAAGATAGGCATTATTAGCATTTTATAGGTGAGGAATCTAAGAATAAAAGTTAATACTTGGGCTGGCACCCTGGAGTAGTGGGTAAAGCCCATAAGGGCACTGATTCAAGTTTTGGCTGCTCCACTTCCAATCCAGCTCTCTGCTATGGTCTGGGAAAGCAGTAGAAGATGGCCCAAGTCCTTGGGCCCCTGCACCTGCATGGGAGACCTGGAAGAAGCTTCTGGCTTCCGGCTTTGGATTGGCCCAACTCTGGCCACTGTGGCCATTTGGGGGAGTGAACCAGTACATGGAAGAACTCTCTCTCTCTCTCTCTGCCTCTCTGTAACTCTGCCTCTCAATTAAATAAATAAATAAAAATCTTTTAAAAAATGTTAATACTTAAACTCACATATTAAGTGGTAGAAAATGGAAATCTGAATCTAGGTTTATCTCACATTGATACAAGATGTCATATAGTTTCATTTTTCTTCACTATATACCTAGAAACAGAATTGCATACCACATATGGTAATCATATGTGGAACAATCTTTCTGAGGTTTTTTGGGGTCATAAATTATATCTTTATATACTGCATATTAACAGAGACTTATTATTTTGTGACTTTACTTTTAAAATCACATAGGAGGGTCGGCACTGTGGCACATGGGTAAAACTGTCACTTGCAGTGCTGGTATCCCATATGTGCGCCAGTTCGAGACCCGGCTGCTCCACTTCCAATTCGGCTCTCTGCTAGGTTCTGGGAAAGCAGTAGAAGACTGCTCACCTTCACCTGCACCTGCATGGGAGACCCAGAAGCTCTTGGCTCCTGGCTACAGATCGGCCCTGGCTCTGGCTGTTGCGGCCCTTTCGGGAGTGAACCAGTGGATGAAGACTTCTCTCTTTCTCTGCCTCTCTTTAACTCTGCCTTTCAAATTAATAAACAAATCTTTTAAAAATATTTATTTCTCTCTCCCTATATATATGCCATGGCAGGGATCTCAGAAAAATTTATCCTTGTTGGAATTTATTGACATTCCAGGACATATAAATTCATGTCTTTTCTTTAAATCTTGGGAAGTTTCCAGTCACTATGTTCTTGAATATTTTTCTTTCCCTTATCTTTGTCTTCTCTGAGACCCCATAATATGTGTAAGTTGTTATGAATGATGGTGTCTCATAGGTTCCTTAGGTTCTGTACATTTTCTTGATTCTTTTTTTCTTTCTATTCCTCAGAATGAACAATTTCAATTCTCCATCTTCAAGTTTGTTGATTCTTTCCTCAATTGTTCAAATCTTCTGATGAATCTCCCTAGGTAATTTTTCACTTCAGCCATCATACATTTAAACTTGAGAACTGCTATTTATTTTCTTGTTATAATTCTTATTTTTCTTTTAAAATTATTATTTATTTTTATTTTATTTGAGAGACAGAAGAGACAGACCGGGATCTTCCATCTGCTGCTTCATTTCCTAAATGCCACAACAGTCAGAGAGGGGCTAGATTAAAGCCTGGAGCCCAGAAACTTCATCTGGGTCTCCCAAGTGGGTGGCAAGGCCCTAAATTTTGAGCCATCACCTGCTGCCTGACAAAGTGCACATCCAGGAAGCTGGATTGGAAGCAGAGGAGACAGACTCCACCAGGCACTCCTGATACAGGATGCAGGTGTCCCACGTGGTAACCTCACCACTGTGCCAAACGCCTTTACTGACAGTCCCTATTTGTTCATAATCATTCTCCCGATTTCCTTTAGCTCTTTGTCCATGGTTCCTTCAACAATTTATAAGCACATTTAAGAACATTAATGTAGGCTTGCCCTGTGTTGTTTTCTATTAGTTTTTCTTCCTGTGAATGAACCATTCTGCTTCATGTTTTGTTTGAAAGAGATAATATGTGTGTGTAAGAGAGAGACACAGAGAAAGAGAGAGAGAGAGAGAGAGAGAGAGAGAGAGAGAGAAAGAGATCTTTCATCTGCTGATTCATTCCCAAGATGGCAGCAATAGGAAAGATTGCACTGAGATGAAGCTGAGAGTTAGGAACTCCATCCCGGTCTCTCACATGATTGGCAGGAACTGAAGTGCTTAAGCCATCATCTGTTGCCTCCCAGTGCATTGGCAGGAAGCTGGATCAGAAGCAGAGTAACCAGGACTCGAATCTGCACCACAATATGGATATGGGCACCTCAAACAGAGGCATAACCTGCTGTGCCACAACACCCACTGCTATGAACTGTACTTCAATGATGCTATGGTTTGTAGTTTTTTTGTTGAGAACTTATAAAAAAAAAAAAGCTTTTGACTCTAATGATCTTCCTCTATTGTCTTCCGTTTCACTGATCTTTAACGTGAACTTTATTATTTCCTTTTTTAATATATTCTTTGACTTTCATTTGCTGTTACTTTTTTCCTAATTTCTTAAGACTGAAGCTGAGGTCTCTGATTTGTGACTTATTATTTTCTAAGCACAGATGCTTCAGTGATAACCATGATAACCATTTCCCTGTAGTCCAGCTCTGGTTGCATCTCACACATTTTGATTTGCTGTGTTTCCACTTTCATATGATTCGAGTATTTTTCTAGTATCTGTTCTGCTTCTCCCTTGATCCGTAGGTGACTGAGAATCACGTTCCTGAATTTCTCAGTGTGCGCTGCCTTCATTCTTGCTGGCTACTGTGGCTGAGGAGACAATTCCAGACGGACTGCTATTCTCTCAGCACTCTGATTATTCCACCACTTCTGGCTTTCGTGTTGCTATTGCGTCTGTTTTTTTCAGAGGGTGGAAGACTTCTTATTTCTAGTTTCTTTGAAATCTTTTGTCTTTAGTATGATGCATTTCACTAAAAGATAACCAGCCTGCATGGCATATATGGATGGTTCATTATAGATTCATGTATTTTATCTGTTCCAAAAAAATCTTAGCCACTGTCATTTCAAACACTGCTTGTTTTCCATTCATTTTCATTTTTTTCCTGGGGTTCAATGAGACTCTCATTCATCCTCCAGGTCTCACATCTCATAAATCTTACCTAGTTTTTTTCTCCCCAGGGCTCTCCAGGTATTTTGATTAGACTCTTGTTGTTGGCTCATTTGGTGATTCTCTTTTTTTAGAGTGTTATTTTATATTCTGAGTAAAAATTCTACTACCTCAAGTCTTTGGGTACCATTTATCTTCTGCTTGTTCTCATGCACTTGACTTCATAGGCCAGGAATGCATCAGAAATTATGTTTTGTGCAAGGTATTTTTTTAAAAGATGTATTTAGTTACTTATTTTAAATGTAGAATTAGATTGAGAAAGAAATGTTCTTTAGTGTGTCTAGAATACAGCCAAATACACAGCAAACTAATATAAGTATTCAGAATAATATACTTTAAAGTCATTTTTAGGGGCTGGCATTGTGGCACAGTGGGTAACCTGTGGTGTCAACATATCATGTAGAGGGCCAGTTTAACTTCCTGCTGCTCTGCTTCTGATTCAGCTCTTTGCTGACGTGCCTGGAAGACAGCAGCAGATGGCCCAAACACTTAGGTCCCTGCCACCTACACGAGACTCAGATGGACTTCCAGGTGCCTGCCTGCCTTTTGCCTGGCTCAGCCCCAGTTATTGCAGCTATTTTGGGGAGTGAACCAGCAGATGGACGATCCCTCTTCCTCTCTTTTCTCTCTCTGTCACTATGCATTTTCAAATAAAATAAATTCTTTAAAATAGCAATTTTAGATTTCATTTTTTTTCCTTTTACCTAGTTTTTTTTCTCTCCTTACTACTAATTTGTTGGCAACCTTAGCTTCATTTCCCCTCCTATGTTTTAGGATTTTGATTTAACGGAGTCATTTTCAGAATTCTGATTTATTTCTGTCATTTTTCTCAGTTTGATAGTTTTATGCTTTCCTTTGACCTCCCACATTCCCTGTTTAAGATCAGACTGGATCAATTATGGGGACTCTGCTTTGTGGATCTAATTACTAACCAACAGGCAGGCTAGTTAAGTTCTGGCTTGTAAAACTGTCTATTTCTTGCACTGTACGCATCTTCAGAATTTCAAGTGGGTGGGCTTGCTGCTGATCCTCTACCATGGAGGGAGCGTCTGCGCTGCTTTATCACAGAATGACTTCTTGTTGCTTCTGCCTGCTCTCGGGGATCAGAGGCTCATGACTTTAGTTCCTGTATTTCTGCCTTAATAATTGATTTCACTTCTGATTTACTGAGACACACAGCTGGTTGTCAAAGTGTGATTCAATCTTTTAAAGTTTCTTTAAAAAAGGTTTATTTATTGAAAGGCAGAGTTACAGAGAGGGAAAGGCAGAGGAGGAGGCGGAGGGGGAGGGGGAGAGGGAGGGGGAGGGGGAGGGGGGAGGGGAGAACTTCCATTTGCTGTCAGACAGGAGCAAGATCTTCTACCCAGCTGTTCACATCTCCAAATGGCTGCAACAGCTGGAGCTGGGCCAATCTGAAGCTAGGAGTCATGAGCTTTATCTGGGTCTCTCCACATGGGTTGCAGGGACCCAAGTACCTGGGCCATCCTCTGCTGCTTTCCCAAGCACACCAGTAGGGAGCTGGATCAGAAGCGGGACGCCAGGACTCAAGACTGGTGCCCAAATAGAATGCTGTTGTCTTTGGCTGTGGCTTAACCCACTATGCCACAACACCAGCCCCTAAATATTTTTAAAAAAATTTCAAATGATATGACTTTTTAAAAATTATTATTTATTTGAAAGGCAGAGTAACAGAGAGAGGTACAGATTGCCCAACTGTTGGTTCATATGGCTGCAACTGCCAGGGCTGGGCCAGGCTGAAGCCTTGAGCCAGGAACTCCAAATTGGTCTCCCACATGGGTGTCAGTACTTGAGCCATCATCTCCCAGCAATATTGGCAGGAAGCTGGATCAGAAGCAGAGCAACTGGGGCTTGAACTGACACTCCATTATGGGATGTGGGTATTCCAAGCAGTGGCTTAACCTGCTGTGACGCACACTGGCCCCTTCTTTTATTTGAATCCATCTTCTAATGACCATGCAGTTGGACAGGGCCTGTAAGCAGGACACAGTGGCAGGTGTGTGGCCCAGTGGGTAAGACACATCTTGAGTCCAAACTGGGGTGCTCTGGCTCCTGATTCTAACTCCACTAATGCAGACCCTGGGAGGCAGTGATGGCTCAGGTAACTGGGTTCCTGCCCTTCAAACGGGAGACCTGTATTGAGTCCTGGCTCCAGGCTTCAGCACTGGTCCATCCCAGCCAGTGCAGGCATTCGGGTAGTAACAGTGGATGGGAGCTCTCTTTTTCTCTATCTCTCAATAAAATCTAATATCCAACCCATCACCCACCAAAAAAAATCCAAAAACCTGAACATAAAATGACATCGTTGACCACGATTCAGATAATGTTAATGACTGGAATACTAATGACACTGTCATCACTTCCTCTCATAAAATAGACCAATTTATATTAAACAGGAGAATGCAAGCCTTGTTCTCACTCACCTGCTCCAAGAGAAAATTATGTACATCTTCCCCTTCTGGTAAAAAGTCCATCCAGTTGAGGTCACCTCCCTCCACAAGGCTCCCACTTTCTTATGGCTCTAAAACAAAGGTAAGTCCAATCCATTTACTTTCACATTGGAAGAGGAAGAAGAAAGGGCCTGCTTGAAGTCAAGAAACGGAACCCTACAAATCACACTTTTCCCTGTTGATGTGAAGTTGATCTCTCAGGAGTCTTGACTATCAGACTGAGATGCCTGGCTGCATGTAAGTATAATGGTGATGACTTAACTACAGCTGCTTAAGGGTCAATGACTCATTTGCCGATGACTGGTAGAAAGTGCAAGCCAGTTATGAACAGAATCACCACACCAGAGTCTTACATGTGATAGTATCCCTTTTCCTAGATAGCTCCGCACATATCTGCCATCAAAGTCACTCAGCAGCCTCCCTGGCATCCATCTCCACAGCAGATCATGATTATAACTGCCCGGTGGGAGAATGCCTAAGGTCCTTGCTGCTCCTGAACCAGGAATGAGAAGTGTTGCAAAGGCAAGAAGTTGAAGTTGAGACAACTTGAAAAAATGGGAGAAAGTACACAAGTCCACTGTCTGAACAGAGTCACAGAAGAAGGAAAATGCATGGCTTTGGGTGTGGTTGTCATCTTGCAGGCATTTTACAGAGGTCAACTGTATTTTACAGGACACTTCTCCCAAGCATAGCAGCTGATCACATGGTGGAGCCAGAATTTGAACTCAGGCTGTGAGAATCTGGTATCATTTAGAAATAGAAATTTGCATTCTGTATCTACAAATAAAAAGCTAACAAGCATTTGAGTTGTAAATAAAGACTAAAGTAGACAGGAAATAAAGGAAATTTGAACATAAAGACTAGAGTTCAGTAAAAATTCTAGTGCCATTAAGCAAATAATATTATTAACAATTAGATAATTAATTGGAACAAGGGATGAGGCTATTTAGCGCATCTTTCTATGAAAATGATTTCACATATGGAGTAAGAATTCTAAGTTCAGAGGGAAATGAAGCAATGAATTTTTTATTTTTAATGAATGCCTATAAAAGATTGAAATACGGGCTGGTGCTGTGGCACAGTAGATTAAGCTGCTGCTATAGTGCTGGCAATCTTATATGGGAGCTGTTTGAGTCCTGGCTGCTGCACTTCTGATCCACCTCCCTGCTAATACACCTGAGAAAGCGTGGAAGATGGCTCAAGTCTGTGAGTCCCTGCACCCAAGTGGGGGACCTGGAAGAAGCTCCTGCCTCCTGGTGTGGCTTGGCCTGGACCTGGCCATTGTGGCCATTTGGGGAGTGAACCAGCGGATGGAAGACCTCTCTCTCTGTCTTCTCTCTTTCTCAGTACTCTTTTCAAATAAATACATAAATCTTTTAAAAAAATTGAAATAATCACCCTAGTACTTTTGATTCAGGTTTGAATTAAGTCAGAAATCACTCTAGAATCTTCACTGTGAATTCTATTTTGTTTTGATATCTCTCATCTTCTTTGTAATGCCACAATTCCCCAAACCTCTTAGACCTCTAGTAGCACTCCCACACTCTTGACATTGTAGGTTTAGGGGTGAGCATTTAGTCTAGAGGTTGACACAAGTTATGGTCTATGTCCCACACTGGGGCACATGGGTTTGATTCCCAATGCTGGCTCCTGACTTCAGCTTTGTGCTAATGTAAACACGTGAAGGCAGCAGCGATGGCTCAAGTAATCGGGTTCCTGCCACCCACATGGGAGATGTGGACTGAAGTCCTGGACTGCAGCTTCGGCTCCAGTCCAGCCCAGCCATAGCTTGTTGCATGCATTTGGGAAGTTAATCAGTGGACGGGAGATAGCTCTCTGTCTCACTGCCTCTCAAATTAAAAAAAAAAAAAAAAGAAAGAAAGAAAGAAATAAATTATGGCTTAGATACTTTTTTCTATAGATTCTTGAAGCTGACAAGCTAGTATACAGTATTGTATGGTAAATATTTATTAAGCTAAAATAAATTTGGGGCTGATGCTGTGGTGTAGCAGGTAAAGCTGTCACCCGCAGTGCCGGCATCCCATGTGGGCATCAGTTTGAATCCTAGCTGCTCCACTTCCAGTCCAGCTCTCTGCTGTGGCCTGGGAAAGCAGTAGAAGATGGCCCAAGTCCTTGGGCCCCTGCACCCCATGGGAGACCTGGAAGAAGCTCCTGGCTCCTGGCTCCCGGCTTCGAATTGGCTCAGCTCTGGCCATTGTGACCATCTGGGGAGTGAATCAGAGGATGGAAGACTGACCTCCCTCCCTCTCTCTTTTTCTCTCTGTCTCTCTCTCTGCCTCTCTGTAACTCTGCCTTTCAAATAAAAAAAAAAGAGATCTTAAAAAAATTCAAATAATTTAACTTTAGAATCTCATCCTGTGGAATCATTGGTGCCACCCATTTCTAATTAGATTACCAGCCTATGATGCCAAATAAGACTATTTATGATTATCCTTACTCTGAAAAAGCAGGTTAGTTTTTACTGAAACTTACTGGAAAGGATAATAGAGCCATTTTGTTTTAAGAGAAGACAAAATTACCAACAGCAAATAAAACATACTTTGAAATTATTTAGAATTTACCAAATTTAGGTGAGATTAGACAGTTCTTTCTCAAGATATTAGTCAACAGGACAAATATACCTCAGAAAGGTAGGTTGAAGCGGAGACCTTACTCTTTTCTTCAGAGGATAAAAGGAGATGGAGTTACTTGCACAGAGATATGCTATTCACAGAGAGTGCAGGATCAGGACCACTGCCCTGGCTAGCATGCTGCTGAGTCTGACACACAGTTTAACACTCACCATTTGTTTGCATAGAAGTGCAATATTTCAGAAAGCAAGACCCCAGCTCTTCCAACAGGAAGTAAAGGTTTGCTAAATTCTCTGTAAAAGATAGGAACAGAGATTAAGTACTTCTGAAGTTCTCTGTTCTAGAACAGCAGTAAACAATATGTGCTCCCCCACCACCGAAAAAAACAAAACAAAATACCCCACATTCCATGCCATCCAGATAGCAGCAGCAAGCCTCCGGGACGTGGTCTACACTGTTTTGGGGAGTTCAGAAACTAGCAGCTCACCTTATGCTTCACGGAGAAGCTAAAGGGGACTCCAGGATTTATATTTGTGCTTTGTGTACCCTAAGATTCTCATCATCTTTAATGTTCTGCAGTATGTTTTGTGAATGTCACAGAAAAGGAACACAGTGTGTGCAGAATCTGACTACATACACAGTTGTTGAGAGAAACACTAATGTTTTGAACAAAGTAGCAACTGCTGGTCATATAGAGGCAGCATCAGTTCTCCACTCATGTCCAATCTAGGAATGTCTGAGAGCTCAGTTCCTTTGATTAGAATCATGAGCATGTGGTATGGGGTGCCACAGTCTGACAGGCTACATTGTGAGGATGTAACTTCTTATATTGGAGTAATGACAAACAAAAGTCAGAGTAA